TTTTTTTTTTTTTTTTTACCTTTAGTTTCTCCCTACCTCGAATTCATATTTCATATCCTAGTCAGCATTCTTTGTAAAATGCTAATTTGATCATGTCAGGGTATTTCCCTGCATAGTACTCTTTCAGTGCTCCCATTGCCCTCAGGATAAAACGTTTCTTGTTAATATGGTTGGTATGTTAGCTTTCTAGGGCTGCCATAACAAAGTACCACAGGCTGAGTGGCTTAGAACAACAGAAATGTATGTCTCGTAGTTCTGGAGGCCAGAAGTACCAAAATACAGATCAGGGAACAAATGTAGGGATTCTCCTGGTTGTCTGTTCTATCTCTATATTCTAGAACTGAGGAAATAACCATAGAGTGAGTCTGGGGACTCACTAAACTCACAGTGAGATAGACCTGAGCTAAAGCTCCACTGATCACCTGACCTCTGTAAGTCTCTACTCTGACAGGCAGACCAGAGTGATGTTTTGGGTCTCCTGAAATTAGTGTCAGTTGAGAGTGAGTGTCTAATAACCCCTGAAAAATTTCATTATTTCCTTTTCCTCAGTGTCCAGTTGCCTTGGTACAAGCATAGGTCTCTTTGGGGATGGCTGGTAGAAAGATTAACAGTGTACATTTCTGGCAGTGTAGTGAGGTTCTTCTTCAGAATGAAGAAGAGTTCTGGATCATCGGTAAATGGTAAATCGGTAAATGGCTCAAGTCTGGGAATTGATTGAAGGATCATATGACTCTGTTTTCATTATTCAAGTTGGACTTACAGCTGCTTGATGTAGTTATTTCCCCTATACAAATCAAGTAAGAATTTTGTTGACTGCCCATCTACTTCACTTGTGAAGACATTATGATCAACTAGCCAATGCCATAAATCTCTTAATCTATTCTGATTACTGCTTTGATTCTGAGGTCTATTACAGTAACCATGCCCACCTTGTCTTTGGCGATTAAAGTGCTGCCTATTGGCCCTGCCACCCTGGGATCCAGTGATCCCCATTGCATTTAGGTTTCCTGACCCAGTAGTAGTAGTTCCTTTTGTAATTTCTGATCTACAAAGAAGAGCAACCACAAAGCTCTTTAAGGATGCTGGGCCTCCCCTCACAAATTTATTTCTCATAGTCGTGGTTGAAAGGTATGTCCTCCTTGGGTGAGTCAGCAAGTCTTACATGGTAAAACTACTTTTAATGTTTCAATCTCCCCTAACCTTTGGATGCCTTCCTCTATAATATAATAGGGCATTTCTGACATTTCAGCCCCATTTTAGTGTAAGCCACCTTTTGGTCTGTGTTTCAGCCAGTCATCTAAACAGACTGTTGGAGACCCTTTTAACCCCTTGAGCTGTGACAATAAATATAGAATCTGCTTAGTGGGCCCATATCAGTAAATTCAGCTTGATCCAACTTTACCATTCTTTCCACTGTTATCCCATACCTTCATTATCCATTCCCACGTGTATTTCCTTGCTTTTTATCTGTATAAATTGGAAAAATCATGTAGTTCTTCTGGAGTGCAGTACACCTTCTCATGGGTCACAGTTTGTATCTCACCTTTCAGGGTCTGCCTGAGCTTGAGTTTCTTTATAGGTCTGGTAGCAAAGAGGAGTAGTAGGAGTAGATCCTGAGTAAAATTAGCAGTGTCTTGCAAGGCAGCTAACTCAGGGGAGGTCATTACAGACTGTCTGATCAAAGCCAGGTTAATCTCCTCAAATGAGCTGGAAAGACTGCTTCTGCTGGCAAAGAAGACTCAGAATTTTGGTGTTTAGTATCCCCAGCTTCATCAGGATCTTCCTATATATTTCCATCCCTTCCCATTCAACGCCGTCACTTTAATAGCAGACAAACTTCAAGGTTGGTGATTCAGTTTGTGTTTCAGTTCAGCCATTTGCAGGATGAGAGTGTCATTTGATTTTTAGCAGTCTTAGCACTGAAACTGCAGGAGGTAAGGATTTCTTTCAAGGAAGACCTAGAAACTTTCAGATAATTTATACAGTTCTTCAGCTGGGAATTTGAATCCCTAAGGTAATTCATTTCTTTTTTTACTTTTGTGTAATGCAGTTAGGAGGATCCAGCCCATGTCATTATACTTGTTAGCTTGACAAAACCGTTCTAAGGTATTAAATACTTGGTCACCCAGCACTTTGCCTTTTATAAGTATTAATGTTTGATTAGGAGTATCTATAGGTGATATTTTGCATGTCTTTGTTGCCACATTACACAATGGAGTATCAGTGTTCTCTTTACTACTGGAAATAGAGTCATTAGTGCCTTTAAATCTAATCAGCTTAAAGAACCAATTCCAGAACTGTAAGAACCAATTCAGAAAACTTATCCTTAAGATTCTGTTGCTCTAAAGCCATTCTTGGTGCCAAAATATGTGTTAGGGTTCTCCAGAGAAACAGAACCAGTAGGATACACAAACACACACTTAATATAGAGACAAATTTATGTTTAACAATCGGTCAAGTTATTTTGAGGACTGGCAAGTCTGAAATTCTCAGGGCAAGCCAGTAGGCTGGAAACTCCTACAGGATTTCTATCTTGCTGTGTTGAGACAGAATTTCTTTTTCTTCTGAAAACTTTAGTCTTTATCCTTAAGGACTTCAACTGATTAGATGAAACCTACTCACATTCTAGAGGACAGTCTGCTTTACTTAAAGTCAGCTGATTGTAAATATTAATCACATCCAAAAAAAATAACATTCACAGCATCTCAGCTTGACCAAACAACTAATCTAGCCAAGTTGACACATAAGGTTAATCACAAATGGGATAATATAGGGGTCTCCAACCTTTTTGGCACCAGGGACCGCTTTTGTGGAAGACAGTCTTTCCATGGACTGGTGTAGGGGATGGGGGATGGTTTTGAGATGAAACTATTCCACCTTAGATAATCAGGCATTAGATTCTCGTAAGGAACATTTCATCCTAGATCCCTCACATGCTCAGTTCACGGTAGGGTTCACGCTTCTATAGGAATCTAATGCCACCGCTGATGTGACAGGAGGTGGAGCTCAGGAGGTAATGCTTGTTTGTGTATGGCTTGTGTGCTGCTTGCTCACCACTCACCTCCTGCTGTGCGGCTTGCTTCCGAACAGGCTATGGATGGGGAGCAGTACATGGCTCTGGGGTTGGGGACCCCTGCGATAATATATGCTAGGCACAATTATACATTGTGACACTGAATAAATGTTAATACCTAGAAAAATGTCTAGTACATGGAAAGGAATTAATGAACAGTAAACTATTGTTATTGATGGTAGTAGCAATAGTATCTGCATCTGTCATGCAGCTTTTTGATTATATGTGTGTTGCCTCCAGTGGACTATGAGTTTTTTAATGGCAGGACTGTATCTCATCAGTCTTTGTATTCCCATCACACCATATAGGCATGCGCTTAATAGGCTCTTGCTGATGAAAGTTCTTCATGAAATGAAAACTTTTTGGATTAGGCTTGGCTCTGTTTATTGATTTGACAATTTTAGTTCTAATAGCTGACTGGTTAGGGGAGATTTCCTTTATAGTGTAAGAAACAAATGAAGTCTTTGTTGTAGTAAATTGAAAGTCTTTCTGCAGGGAGTAATTTTCACTTCTTTTGTTTTTTTTTTTTTGGAAACCGAGTCTCACTCTGCTGCCCAAGCTGGAGTGCAGTGGCACGATCACAGCTCACTGCAGCCTCAGCCTCCTGGGCTCAAGCAATCCTCGCACCTCTCAGCCTCCCAAGTAGCTTGGACTACAGGGTGCATGCCACCATGCCCTGGCTAGTTTTTGTATTTTTTATTGATGTGAGGTCTCACCATGTTGCCTAGGCTGATCTCAAACTCCTGTGCTCAAGCAGTCTGCCTGTCTTGGCCTCCCAAAGTGTTGGGATTACGGGTGTGCGCCACCATGCCTGGCTTCCGTGCATAATTTAATAAAACTGAGTACTATATAATAGTAGTCTTAAAATGAAAAAGTAAAAGGCCATTTTGGTAGTGATTATGGTGAAAACACGATACAGTTAACTTTTAGAAGTTTTTTATTTTGTATCACTTCAATTTTCTATTATTAGTGGGAAAATTTTAGGTAGAATTATTAAACAACATGTTATTTAGTAAGATTTAATTATTTTACCTCCTTTTTTAATATCTAAAATGTTATAGAATCACTCAAAACAATGTTATAGAAAAATAGGGTAGAAATGAAAACTTATATTTGGACAGGTCTGTACCCTCAAAAAATATGTATTTAGAAATATTAACCTTGTTTGTCCTCTCAAGAATATTTCATTTCTATCCTTTTTTTTTTTTTCAGACGGAGTTTCGCTTGTGTTGTGCAGGCTGGAGTGCAGTGGCACAGTCTCGGCTCACTGCAACCTCTGCCTCCCAGGTTCAAGCGATTCTCCCACTGCAGCCTCCCGAGTAGCTGGGATTACAGGCGCCCACCACCATGCCTAGCTAATTTTTGTATTTTTAGTAGAGACAGGGTTTCACCATGTTGGCCAGGCTGGTCTTGGGCTATTGACCTCTGGTGATTTATCTGTCTCAGCCTCCCAAAGTGCTGGGATTATAGGAGTGAGCCACTGCGCCTGGCCCTAACTTTTTTTATAAGAATTCTTTTATAGTTTTTACTCATATATTATACTGCATGTAAGCCCATTTTCTATTAGTTTGCTTTTGAAATTCTGTGGAGGGTACTCTTCAGGGCTTCACAATAAAGACCTTAATAATATTTTCCTCCTTAATTAATTTACCTGTGGAAAATATGTTGTTTCCGTTTGTGTTGGTTTATTTATTCTATTAAAAACTGTTATTCCTTGAAACTCATGTCATTGTTAGATTTCTTTTTCAAAATTTTATTTTATGTATGTTTATATTTTTATAGAACAGGGTCTCGGTATGGTGGCCAGGTTGTTCTTGAACTCCTGCCCTCAAGCAGTCCTTCCGCCTTGGCCCCCCCAAAGTGCTGGGATTATAGGTGTGAGCCACTGTGGCTGGCCTAGATCCCTTATTTCACTTTTACAACCTGGAAAAAAAATACTCTTTTAAGCAAAATTTTCTAGTATCATTGGGATATACATTTTATTTTATTTTATTTTTTTAAATTTATTTTGAGATGGAGTTTCATTCTTGTTGCCCAGGCTGGAGTGCAATGGCACAGTCTTGGCTCACTGCAACCTCCACCTCCTGGGTTCAAGCGATTCTCTTGCCTTAGCCTCCTGAGTAGCTGGGATTACAGGTATGCATTACCACGCCCGGCTAATTTTTGTATTTTTAGTAGAGACGGAGTTTCACCATGTTGGCCAGGCTAGTCTTGAACTCCTGACCTCAGGTGATCCGCCTGCTTCAGCCTCCCAAAGTGTTGGGATTACAGGCCTGAGCCACCACGTCCAGCCTGGTATATTACATTTTAAACTCATTATAAATGTTTGCGGTAGTTTGGACACCTGGATGGATTTATCATAATGATGGCTCTTTTTTTTTTTCTTTTAACTTTTTATTTTTAGTGCCAGAATTCAAAATGGCCCTTAAATACATATAATAGAGCTAACACAATTATTTCACTCTTTAAAATGTCTTTTTTTGAGAGTCTGTACTTGAAGACATTTCCCTGTTATTAGATGAACTGTTGACCCAAGGAGTTAAAAAAGTTACGTTAAGCAATATGTTACTGCTATCTTTTCCTTCATTTTCCTTGTTTTTTTTTTTTTTTCTTTCTCCTAGGAGACCTCCGAGCTTGCACATATTGTAGAAAAATAGCCTTAAGTTATGCTCATTCCACAGACAGTAATTCTATTGGGGAAGACTTGAATGCTCTTTCAGATTCTGCTTGCTCTGTGTCTGTACTTGATCCAAGTGAACCCCGAACACCTGTTGGGAGTAGGAAAGCCAGCCGTAACATATTTTTAGAGGATGATTTGGCCTGGCAAAGGTATTGTCCCTTAAATATAATTTTATTTAAAATTGAGAAATACCAATAGTTGTCTTACCTGTGAGTGCTTTCAGTTAACACTTACCTTCTTTGAATTATTTCCTGTCAGTTCACTGTGTTCTCCTTTTTCTTTGGCTTGCCTCCAGAATGTTTGCAGATGTTTATGGATAGTGATGATATTGGCTAATTAGAATGTAAGCTCCATGAGAGGAGACTTTACACCTTTCTTGTCACTGTTCTATCCCAGGCACCAAAAACAGTGCATGGCATGTATATAATCTTGAGATTATTAATTTCTAATGTAGCCTTCTGTGAGAAGAAGAATGCCCATACAGTATGTATTCATATTTCCAAATGAAATTAGATTTTTTTTCCTTCTGAAGGAATATGTCATGTTTTTCTGTAAGTATACTGCACTGCTACGTCATGTTTTTTTCTAAGTATACTGCGCTGCTTGGTAGTAGAGGGTGCTAACTCTTGGAAGTTCCCTAGAATTGTTTGAATTAGAATCTTAGTTTCATCAGTTTCTGATTTTTAAAAATTATTAGTTATTATTTTTGAGACGGCCTTGCTCTGTCACCCAGGCTAGAGTGTAGTGGAGTGATCATAGCTCAGTGCAGCCTTGAATTCCCTTCTACCTCAGCCTCCCGAGTAGCTGGGGCAACTGCCGCAGCCTCCTGAGTAGCTGGGACAACAGGTGCACACCACTGTGCTTGGCTAATTTTTTTTTTTTTTTTTTTAAGAGACGGGGTCTTGCCATATTGACCAGGCTGATCTTGAACTCCTGATTTCAAGCAATCCTCCCACCTCAGCTTCCCAAACTGCTGAGGTTACAGGCATGAGCCACTGCACCTGGCCTCTGATTATTTTCTTTAGCTGAATTATTTTGTTAAGCATAATACCAAATCTGGTCATTTCAAAGAGCTTATAGTTTTAACTAATATCTCTCTGATAAGTTAATTTCTCAGTTACCCCTTAAGGAATTGAGAAATTAATATGTAATGAATTTAAATAGAAGTAAAAAATGAATTAATTACAGCTACGTTCAATATGTATGAATCTCAGGGACATAAAGTGGAGTAGAAAAGCAAATCATCTAATCATGTAACCAGTAAAATTTAATTTATATGAAATTTAAAAATACGCACAACTAGTATACTGTCTAGGGACTGAAATGTGGTAAAACTTAAAGAAAAAAAAAAGACAACGATAGATATGAAAGTCGTAACAGTGGTTTCACTGAGGGAAGGGAATGGATTAGGACTGAGTAAGGGAATTTCACAGTCAGTCGTAGTGTACTCTTTCTTTTTCTTTTCTTTCTTTCTTTTTTTTTTTTTTTGAGATGGAGCTTTTTTGCTCTTGTTGCCCAGGCTGGAGTCCAATGGCACAATCTCGGCTCACTGCAACCTCCTTTTCCCGGGTTCAAGCAATTCTCCTGCCTCAGCCTCCCAAGTAGCTAGGATTACAGGCGCCCGCCACCATGCCTGGCTAATTTTTCTATTTTTAGTAGAGATGGGGTTTCACCATGTTGGCCAGGCTGGTCTTGAACTCCTGACCTCAGGTGATCCACCTGCCTTGGCCTCCCAAAGTGCTGGGATTACAGGTGTGAGCCACTGCGCCTGGCCGGAGTTTCTTTTTCTTACATTAGTTTTTATTTGTTTATTTTGAGATGGAGTCTCGCTGTGTCACCCAGGCTGGAGTGCAGTGGCGTAATCTTGGCTCACTGCAACCTCCACCTCCCATGTTCAAGTGATTCTTGTGTCTCAGTCTTCCAAATAGCTAGGATTACAGGCCTGTGCCACCATGCCCAGCTACGTTTTGTATTTTCAGTAGAGATGGGGTTCGCCATGTTGGCCAGGCTGGTCTCGAATTCATAGGCTGCAGTGATTTGCCCGCCTCCCAGAGTGCTAGTGTTATAGGCATGAGCCACCATGCCCAGCCTTTTCTTACATTGCTTGAGGAATACTTTGGTGTGTATGGCATTGTGATTTTTTATACCTTACGTATATCTTATAAATTTTAAACATTGATTCTATGTTTAATTAATACAAAGTATAGAGATTTTTTAGTTTTTGTTTACTTTAGTTAGTAATGCTTTTTAGCTGTGACTGGCCCTGTCGTAATTGGCAGATGTGATTTGACAAAACAAATCAGGTTAGAAAGCTTCTTGAGAGATGTACAATAGATGTCAAAGGTAGAATGATAGTTAAATTTTAGGTTCTGTGCTAATTGCTTAATGTTCATTATCTTTTAGTCAGCATATCTCTGTGGCAGGCACTATTTTCTCCTTTCGACAGATGTGGATGCTGAGGTTTAGTGAGATTAAGTAATGAACACAAGGTTACGCAGCTAGTAAGAGGTAGAGCCTACACTTGGACCTAGGTTTGTCTGACTCTATGTTGCTATTCTAGTGGGTTATGGGGACTGAGAATAATATATTTGAACTCAGATTTCCCTCCAAAATCACTTTCATCTTGTATTTATAATGTTAGAAGTTTTGAAAGCACCCATCCAAGTAATTTTATTTACATTCCATATACTTAAAAACTTTTTAAAATTGTCCTTTTGGCATTTTATATTCTTAAAAGCCATGCACTGCAAAAACTATTACTCATACCGTTTACACCCTAATTAAAGGAAGAACAAAAATGATCCATAATGTCATTATTGCAGGGAAAAAGATTTAATCTGCTTTTAATGTTAAAGTGCCTCATTGAAATTCCCTTTTACTGTCCTGAATTATTTCAGTATTTTCCTATTTTGTTTATAGTTTGATTCATCCAGATTCCTCAAATACTCCTCTTTCAACAAGACTTGTATCTGTGCAAGAGGATGCTGGGAAATCTCCTGCTCGAAATAGGTAAACTGATGAATGAAAACACTGCTGTGATGTTTATTTCTTTTCATGTTAATAAGAAGAACAAATGGATAAAAAGGGTGAGATTGATTGTCATATACTTTCTTAGCTCTAAAAGCTGAATTAAACTATCATTTTCTTTTTGCTATTCAGCTCTTGTTTCCATTCTCTCAGTGACTCCTCTTTCCAATATTCTCCACTGGCTTCTGGGTTTGGAACCTATACCATTCTTTCTCTTCTAGTTAAATAAGATGTGAAGGATGTGAGGGAATGAGCCATGTGGACATTTTGTGGAGGAGTGTCCCAAGAAAACAGGAATAACAAATTCCTGAGAGGAAATACACCTGGCAAGGAATAACATTCCTATGGTAATGGAATAGAGCAGTCTTAGAGTTAATTTTAAGGACTTTGTCATTTACTCTGAGTGAGATGGGAAGCTGTTGGAGAGTTTTACATTTTTTGTTGTTAATTTTTAATTGCTTTGAAAAAATGTCAAACATGCAGAAAAGTTGGGAGAATAGAAAAATGTGTCTTCATATATTCTTCATTAAGATTTGGTAATTTATATTTTGTCCCTTTGCTTTCTCATTTTTCTTTTTTAAATTTTTATCTTCTTATTGTTATTATCATTATTATTTTTTGAGACGGAGTCTTGATCAGCTCACTGTAAGCTCTGCCTCCCGGGTTCATGCCGTTCTCCTGCTTCAGCCTCCCCAGTTGCTGGGACTACAGGTGCCTGCCACCATGCCCACCTAATTCTTTTTTATTTTTAGTAGAGATGGAGTTTCACTATGTTAGCCAGGATAGTCTTGATCTCCTGACCTCGTGATCTGCACGCCTTGGCCTCCCAAAGTGTTGGGATTACAGGCGTGAGCCACTGCGCCCAGCCTATTATTTTTTAATAAAATATAGAGATGGGTTTTCACTTTGTTGTCCAGAATGGTCTTGAACTTCTGACCTCAAACGATCTTCCCACGTTGGACTCCCAAAGTGCCAGGATTACAGGTGTGAGCCACTGCACCTGGCCATCGTTTTTTATATTGTAATGCACATGTGCATATTTTCTGAACCATTTGAGAGTAAGTTACAGACATCATTATCCTTTTTTTGTTGTTATTTTTTATAGTAGTTTTAAGGTTCATAGAAAAAAATGAACAGAAAGTACAGAGAGTTCCCCTGTAGCCCCTGTCCCCACACATGCGCAGTCTTCATGACTATCAGTGTCCTACACTGGAGTAGCATATTGTAATCAGTGAACCTGCTTTGACACATGATTATCATCTAAAAGTTCATAGTTAACATTAGAATTCATTCTTGGTGTTGAATATTCTATGGATTTGGACAAATGTATAATGACATACATCTGTCATTGTTGTATCCTACAGAATAGTTCCTCTGCCCGAAAAGTCTACTGGGCTCCTCCTATTTATCTCTTACTTTCCCTAACCCATGACAATCATTAATCTTTTTTACTGTCTCCATAGGTTTACTTTTCCCAGAATGCCATATAGTTGGAATTTCACAGTGTGTAGACTTTTCAGATAGGCTTCTTTTACCTAGTAATATGCATTTAAGTTTTCTCTATGTCTTTGCATAGCTTGATAGCTCATTTCTTTTTAGTGATGAATAATATCCCATTGTCTGGATACACTATAGTTTATGTATCTGCTCACCTACTGAAGGACATCTTGATTACTTCTAAGTTTTATCAGTTATGAGCAAGGCTGTTGTGACATCTGAGTATAGGTTTTTTTGTGGGTGTAATTTTCAATTCTTATGGATAAATACCAAGGAGCATGATTGCTGAGTCCTATGGTAAGATTATGTTTCATTTTGTAAGACACTGCTAGACTTTTTTCCAAAGTGGCTTTACCAGTTTGCATTCCTACCAGCAATGAATGAGAGTTCCTGTTGTTTCACATCCTCATCACATTTGGTGTTGTCAGTTTTGGATTTTGGCAGTTTTAGTGGGTGTGTACTATTATCTCATGTGATTGACTTTTGTGTATTAATCTTGTATGCTGCCACCTTGCTATAATCACTTATTAATTTCAGGAGTTTGTTAGTTCTTTTGGATTTTCTATATAAACAGTCTTGTCATCTGTGAACAAAGTTTTGTTTCTTCCTTCCCAGTGTACCTTTTATTTCCTTTTCCTGTCTTATTTTGTTAGCTAAGACTTCTAATTCAATGTTGAAAAGGAGTAGTGAGAGGGGACATCCTTTCCTTGTTCATGATCTTAGTGGGAAAACTTTTGAGTTTCTCACCATTAAGTATGATGTTAGCTATGTGTTGTTTTTTGTAGATATTTTTTATCATGTTGAGGAAGTTTCCTCTATTCCTGGTTTACTGAGTTTTTATAATGAAGGAGTGTTGGATTTTGTCAAGTGCTTTTTCCGTAGCAATGATATGATTATGTAGTTATTCTTCTGTAACTTGTTGATGTGATGGGTTATATTAATTGATTTTTGAATGTTGAACCAACCTTGCCTACCTGGGATAAATTCCATTTGGTTGTGGTGTATATAGTTTTTTATACATTGTTGGATTGGATTTGTTACTGTTTTGTTGAGGATAATAGTTTGTGGTTTCCTTTTCTTGTCATGTCTTTGTCTGGTTTTGATATTAGGGAAATCCTGGCCTCATAGACTGAGTTAGAAAGTATTCCCTCTGATTCTATCTTCAGGAAAATTTTGTGGAGAATTGACATAATTTATTTCTTAAATGTTTGGTGGAATTCACCAGTGAATGCATCTGAGCCTGGTGCTTTCTGTTTTGGAAAGTTACCAGTTATTGATTCAACTTCTTTAAGAGAAATAGGTCTATTTCGATTTTCATTTCTGATATTAGTACTTTGTGTTTTCTCCCTTTTTTTTCTTAGCCTGGCTGGATACTTACTGATTTTATTGATCGTTTCAAAGAACCAGCTTTGGCTTTGTTGATTTTCTCTATTGGTTTCTTCTCTAATCTTTATTATTATTTTTCCTGTGCTTACTTTGGATTTAATATGCTTTTTAACCCCTTTGTTCCCTAAGGTGGAAGCTTAGATGATTGATTTTAAATCTTCTTTTTAAATGTATGTACTTTGTGCTATGAATTTCCCGCTAAGCACTGCTTTCATTGCATTCCACAAATTTAGATAAGTTGTATTTTCATTTTCATTTTGTTACAAATATTTAAAAATTTTTCTTGATATTCTTCTTTGACTCATGTATTTTTTTTACACACTCTCCAAGGATTTTAGGATTTTGTAGCTGTCCTTCTGTTAATGATTTCTAGTTTGATTTCATTTTGGTTGTTGAAGGCAGACATTGTATGATTTCTACTCTTTGAAATTTGTTATGGTGTGTTTTATGGCCCAGAATGTGGTCTGTTTTGGTGAATGTTCCATGTGACTTGAGAGGAATGTGTATTCTGTTGTTGAATTAAGCAGTCTATAAGATGTCCATTATATCCACCTGATTAATGGTGTTGTTGAGTTCAGCCATGTTGTTACTAATTTTCTCTCTGCTGGATGTGTCCATCTCTGATAGAGGGATTAAAGTCTTCAGCTATAATAATGAATTCATCTATTTCTCCTGCAGTTCTATCAGTTTTTGCCTCATACATTTTGGTACTCTGTTAGGAGCGAGCATGCATATTAAGGATTGTTCTGTCTTTTGGAGTATTGATTTCTTTATCATTATGTAATTTCCCTTTTTATCTTTGATTGCTCTGAAGTCTGTTCTGTCTGAAAATTAATGTAGTTACTCCTGCTCTTTTTTTAAAATTAGCGTTAACATGGTATATCTTTCTCCATCTATTTACTTTTTTTCATGTATCCTGTTTTGATTTCATTTAAAATTTTAGAAATTCATTTTTAAAATTGACACATAATAATTGTACATATTTGTGGGGTAAATAGTGACATTTTGACCATTTACTTATTTTTTAATCTGTATGTGTCTTTGTATTTAAATTAGGTTTATTGTAGACAATATATTTTTGGATCTTATGTTTTGATCCATTCTAACCATCTCTGTCTTTTAGTTGGTGTATTTAGACTATTGATATTTAAGGTGATTACTGATATAGTTAGAGTAATATCTGCCGTATTCGTTACTGTTTTCTACTTGTTGCTCTTGTTCGTTCTTCCTGTTTTTGTCTTCTGTACCTTTTCCACCTTTATGTATTTAATTATTTTATGTTATTCCATTTTCTGTCCTTTTTAAAAGATAGCAGTTATATTATTTTTACTTTTTTTAGTGATTGCCCTAGAGTTTGCAATGTAACTTACAACTAATCCACATTTACTTTGAAATAATACTATGCAACTTCACAGGTAATGCAAATACCTTATAATAAAATACTCCCAATTTTTCCCTCCCATCTGTTGTATCATTGGCATTCATTTCACTTACATATAAGCATGCATATATACATAATTGAATACATTGTTGCTATTATTTTGAAGAAATAGTTATCTGTTACATCAACTAACAGTAAGAAAAAGAAAAGTTTTTACTTTAACTTCTTCCTTCTTTGATGCTTTTCTTTGTGTATTAATAGATCTAAGTTTCTCACCTGTATCATATTCCTTCTCTCTGCCTTTTCAGCATTTTTTGTAAGGCAGGTCTACCGGCAAAAATTTCCCTCAGTTTTTGTTTGTCTAAGAAAGGCTTTACTTCTCCTTCACTTGTGAAGGGTATCATCAGATGCAGAATTCTTGGCAGCTTTTTTCTCTCAATGTCTTAAATATTTCACTTCATTCTTTTTGCTTGCATGGCTTCTGAGAAGTCAGATGTATTTGTTATCTTTGATCCTCTATAGGTAAGGTTTCTTTTTTTTCTTTAAATAGAGGTGGGGTCTTGCTGTGTTACCCAGGCTGGTCTCAAACTCCTGGCCTCAAGCGATCCTCTTGCTTTGGCTTCCGAAAGTGCAGGGATTACAGGTGTGAGCCACCACACTTGGTCTTTAAGGTGGTTTTTTCAAGATCTTTTTCCTTATTTTTGACTTTCTGCCATTT